CTTTTCTCCTATTAAATTGTATTACTGACTTGGAGTCTCGCATTGGTTTTACTTTCAAACCAACGCAATCGTCATTCCCTAACTTGGACATTTAGCAATTAAATTACCCCCATTTTGAAGTACATGTAAATGATGTTTTCTGTGTTGAAACTGGGATTAGCAAGTTTGCGCTGTGTTTTCAGATAATTTAATGCTCTGTCTAAAAAACAGTAAATGTCAGTAATTGTCAGTATCACAATTGTTCCAGTTAAAAGGAAATAAATAAGCACAAGTTCTGAAGCTGTCATAAATAAAATCCTCTAATGTTCATCTGTTGAGTTTTAAGATGTGTATTTACAGAATCAGTTAAAAGGAGCCAGGAGGAATGCTTCCAAGTGCAGTTCCATATTGGATAGAAACATCAAATTATAGTCCTTTCCCTGTATTTAACTTTGTATGCATGTGTGATGTTGTATGTATTTACAAGAAAGGTTAAGGGGAGAGAGCACCTACTCTGGTACTTCTACCCTGAATCCATTTAATTTTACATGGGAAAAAATGGCACAGAATTAGTCTGTATGTTTTATTGGGAAGTATACATTTGCATTTATTGTATCATGATTTTCTTCTTTATTGAGTTTTTTTTTTACTTAAATGAAATTTAGGTGCTTTTTCTAGATTTGTGCAATTTTAATTAGTTGTACAGTCTTGAGAGAATGGCATGTATTGTACAGTTCACTTTTTTACAAGTTTCCCCTCATTATATAGCCAGTAGAATTGAGAGTTTAAATAGAACTACAGGCATTTGATCTAAAGCATGCTAAGGAGTTAATTTTATGTTTATGCCTTCTGAAGCTTTTTTTTTTTTTTTAACCAGATACCTAATACTGTGTGTGTAAAGGTGCTTTCTGTCATAGCAAGGTTGAGATCCTGGAGGAAAGGGCGCTGCTCTGAGGATAAATATAGATGAAAAGAGTGTGGGAGGAGTGTGGCCAGCAGGTCCAGGCAGGTGATCCCGCCCGTCTCCTCAGCCCTAGTGTGGCCACAGCTGGAGTGCTGTGTCCAGTTCTGGGCTCCTCAGTACAAGAGAGACATAGAGCTCTCGGTGCAGCTCAAGGCAGCATCTCTCTTATGAGAAGAGATTGAGGCAGCTGGACTGTTTAGTCTGGAAAAGACCGAGAGGAAATCTCATTAATGCGCATAAATATCTGAAAGGCGGGTGTCAAGAGGATGGTGCCGGACCCTTTCCGGTGCTGCCCAGCAGCAGGATGAGGCACAGTGGCCATAAACTAAACCACAGTAAGTTTCACGTCAACCTGAGGATGAACTTCCTCACAGTGATGGTGGCAGAGCACTGGAACAGGCTGCCTAGGGGAGTCATGGGGTCTTCCTCTCTGCGGACATTCCAAACCCACCCGATTCTTGTAGAATACCCTGCCTTGACAGGGGGCTCCAGCGGACGATCAGTGGAGGTGCCCGCGGGCGGGAGCCGCGGCCGCTGCGCGCAGCCTCCGCCAGGTGGCAGGAGCGGCCCTCGCCGGACGCGCCGCGGCTCGGGGGAGCGGTCACAGCTTGCGGGGAGCCCGGCCCGAGCCTCGCCCCGGCTCGCCGCTATCCCGCCGCCTCTCTGCTGCCGGGCTCGGTGCGGAAAGCCACCCTGCTCACCCTCACCTGCTCGGTGCGTCGCGGTGTCCTCTGCAGGCTGTGCTCCGCCCTCCCGCACCAGACCCGGGGCAACCCTTGGGAGAACCTGCCACCCGCTGCAGCTCGTGTACCGGCACGGGGGGCACAGCTCCGGCTAAATTAACTGCTTCTTCGGAAAAAAACAAAAGCAAAATCAAACAAACAACACAAACCCCCCAAAACCCCCGCTTGCTCTGAAATCATTCTCCCGGTGGAAAACGAGGAACACTTTGTGTACCCTCTGTCTAAAGTGAGCCCCTTACACTCATGAAGAGTGTACTTTAGAGGCATTTTGGGGTTTCTGCCCACGTTTGTATTACATTCCCAGCACCTCTGTTATAAAGTATTTCATTAAAAGCTGATGTCTGTACATTAGAATGAGTTGGTGACATTGGTGAGCTTGATTTTATTTTGCTTTATTTTCCCCCCTCAAATCTTGTTAAGCTGTTGGAAAGCCTTGCCCTCTTTCCTTGCTGCTGAAAAAGAAAATGTCGAGCAAAGTATGTAATATCAAATCATACATGGCACTCAATGTGCTCTGACAAGTCATGGTAGTAAATTGAAGTTCTGGTGAGAGAGCCCAATAGCAGCAATGATTTGAGAAAACCCAGTACACAGATGTAGTTTAAGTCATGAAAATTCTGAAAAAGAAGCCCTAAGGATAATTCATCTTCACTCCTATAATGCTTCTGAATTCTACTTATTGGAAAAAATAAATTTTAATTTAGGCACTCCAGGACTTGTATATGTATGACAAAGCTGAAACCAGGTGCGGAATTGCACATTGTTTGAAGGTCTTGGAGGATATTCTGAACTGTGGAAATGAAAGTTTCTTAAAATTCCTGGCAGTGCTTGGAAAATCCGTAGTATTTATGAGTTTAAATTCTTTTGATGGTTAGAAATGTCTCCTTCCTTTGAACTCTTCAGCTTAATTTAAAAATATATAGACACCATGGGGAGGAGAATTAGCTTCTCTATGGCAAGATTAGATAAAGAGACATTTATAACAGGCTCGTGTCTGTGACCAAAAGTTCTGCAAGATATGATTTATAGCTTGGAGGTGTTTTCCTCCTGGTCCTCACCACCCACCCCCCACCCCATCAAAAAAAAGTTGATGAGTGCAGTAGAGCCCATGTCCCTGTGGTAGCCATGTGCAATTTGCAGACACAGCTGAGGATACCTCGGCACTGTGTTCATTGCACAAATGGGATGTGCGTGCATTGGCCAGCTAGGAGTCAGTGAGTTATTTGTGACAGACACCTCTGCCCATTGGCTCAGGACAGTGCCTAAGTGATGCTGAGCATCCCTGCTGCTGCCCCAGGTCACCTCCCTCCCTGAAATTTGTAGGAGATAAAGTGTGGGACAGGGACCTCCTCCAACCTCTGCAGATTTTCAATCAAATTGCAGCTGTCATGGTTTGTATTTATTGTAGTGTTTTCTTCAGATAAATTTAGCTCTAAAATAAAGCTCCAAATTCCATACCCCAAGGCATGAACAATTTGGGTTGTTTGTTGCTCAGTGCAGATATGAAAATGGCGGAAGTATAGATCTGTGTGTATGTACACACACAGAGGCAAACATATCTTCATAATAAAAAACACATAAAAGTAGGCAGGCTTTAGCTGAAAAAGATCTGCCAGTACTTGCAATAGTGGTGTTAAATGATGCTCCCTGTTTGAATCCAATATTATAAGGACAGACCAGTTTGAAATGGAATTTGGTTCTGGACACAGGAGAGAAGGATAATTTGGAGCATGTTATTACCTGAAGCTAAACTGCAGACAGCAGAATTAATTCATTGGCATACACTTCAGTGTTTGTTTAAAATGCATGGATGAAAGTAACTCATTTACTTACTTGCTCTGTGTTCTGCAAGCTTTCTTGGGCATTGTATGCATATATATGTGTATGTGTGTATTTATGTATTTTTTTTTCTTTCCAGGACTTTATTGACTGTTGGTGATAAGTAAAATTTGCATTCTCCACTTCTGTTAAGCAGAAGGACTTTTTTAATATGTAATGTTTCTTGCACTCAGAATCAGTTTAGCATCCACTCATTCCCTGTGTTTCTGAAGGGTAGCCTTGTGGCATGAGTGCATCTTGCTGTTGTTCTTAAGGTGAATACCCCACAATCCTAGCATTCCTCTCAGGAAGTAGGTAGTTATTCATGTTGTAGCTAGGTCTCATTAATTATCTGCTGTCTATGTAAAGCACTCTCCAATTATACCACCAGGTACCTGTTGTTAAGCTTCATTTATCTTTGGCTTTATTGTGCTTTTGCCATAGCAAATTGTCTTGCATCCCTGAGAGTTGCTATTTATTCCTTAGTAACTGATGCTTTACTGTCTCCTGACCTGATTTTTCCCAAACATTTTTGTATAATTAATAGGTACTCCTCAACTTTCTGTTCTTCTCCTAGTTTATGTGGCCGTAGCTGTAAGAAAAGACAGACAGTGGGACATACAGTTTAATAAAAACTCTCTTGGATTGTTTTTTTTTTGTTTTTATGGGAGACTTCATTTTCTCAAGCATTAATTACTTGAGAATGCTGTCTTTATAAATCTTGTTCTCTTTTCCCACAGGATTTGCAAATAGAGCGAGAGAGAACTGTGTATAATATTTCTGGTGGCTGCACAGCCCTGGTCGTGGTGTATTTATTGGGGAAGCTTTATGTGGCAAACGCTGGTGATAGCAGGTAAGTGTGTTGTCTGCCCATCTATTCCTTCAGCCCAAACTCGCCAGGTATGGTGTTACTGAGTTCCTTAAGTGCAGACAGCATCACAAGAAGATTCTATTTCTTGGCTGGACACTTAGCACTTCTCACAGAAATGAAGACAAGTGCTAGAGATAGCATTCCAGTATCTTGAGCAGTGGTTGCAGTCAGGGAAACTGACAGCGCTTCTGGTCCTCTAGCAGTTTCTGAATGACTTGATGTGTGCAGAGAAGTGGAGAAGTACTAAAAAGCCATTGAAACACAAGAGGTGTTGGGTGCATAGTAGAGTTGTGTGTTGAAAACTGACAAGGTGACTGCATCCGGAACAGTTCGTAGGGCTGCATTTGTTCTGTATGGAGTCCTGTGGCTCCTGTTGCCAGGCTTAGTCATGATAGGCCGTTTGGCTTTCAGATTTTCATGTAATTTAAGGTAGTGATCAGTAAGCAAATAGCTGCTACTCTTGCCTTGGGGGAAGAGGAGGCAGAGGCAGGCTATCATAGTATAGGTTTTTTGCCTTGTCCTGCTCTAGCTCATGTATTTGTCCATTTCTCAGAACTGAATGCTGTTGCTCAGGAGCTGTTGCTTTGTTTTATTTTGAAGTTGGGTGCTTGAAGACTCATGATAAGAAGTATTTTCTTTGTCTTTTGATGCTGCTAAAGATAGGAGCATACTGAAAATCTCTTGCATTCTTTCACCCTCTCTATCTCTGCCCTTACCACCATTGGAGGGAGATAATGAGGTTCTTCTTGCAAGACTTCAGCCTTCATGTGAGTTTTTTTGTCAGTGCGCTGCATAAACAGGGCAGGGAGAAGAGTTCCCATGCAATACAAACTACTCATGTATTCTGTTCAGTAATCGCTCAGTAATTAACATCTGCAAAAATATTGAACCATGTTGTCTTTAGGTGAAGACTGCTATGGTTATGAGTTTATGTTTAAGGTTTGTGCACACACAGTTCATGTTTGCAGTGTGTACACCCACATACTTACAGAGACAAGACTCAAAAGTTAAGGGTTTTGTAGTTTAAACCTAAGATTTTTATTGTCTCTTGCTGCTTTACACTGTGTAGGAAGTCAGATAAATCCTTTGTGCATAAAATTCCTGTTCTTTTCATGTTGGTGATTGGTTTTAAGAAGCTAAATTTGCTGTATGAGTTGCAAGTTGCTCACCCAGTTTCTATTGGCGAGTGACATATTTGAATCTCCTTTTTGTATCAAATGTCAAGTGAGTCCTCACATGGTAGCTACAAATGTGTTTGAGGTGATCACCTATCTGGTCAACAGAACTACTAGCTAAACTACATTCTATCTTTCCTGCCATTAAATTAAAAATAATCCTGTTTTTTTGTGCTGTTGCACTTGAAGTACAGTTGAGTCTCTTTGTTGAATCAGCTAATTTGCTTTATTGTCTCTTAAAAGTGTGCTGTGAAAAACTGGCCATGTGGGACTTACTTCTAAGTAGCCAAGATCTTTGTTCTTAAATGACTGGAACTGGCTGCTTCCAGTTCCCTCAGGATTCCTTCTGTGCTCCCTACGAGCAGCCTCAGCTCCATTGCAGCCTCTGATATCCAAGGGTAGGACACTCCTGTTGGAGGTGATTTGGAGTTGGGGCCAGAGTATTGGTGTAACTGTAGTTAAACATACTAAGTCTTCAAGACATTTTGCATGTTCATTAAGTTCATCCAGAACATCTCTTCAGAAAAACAGGCAGAGCAGGAATCAGAAAGGAAGCCATTGGGTGTTGTTTGAACCGGATTCAAATTCTCATTCCTAACATCTTGTTGGTGATAAAGTCCCTCTGGATTCAAAATAGTTTGGTTTTGTGCTTCTCAAATGAACATCACAGAAAATCTCTTGTATGCTGAGGAGAATTATTCCAAAATCTTTCATTTCCTGGTAAATCCGTTCCTAGACTTTCCTAGCTCAAAAGAAATTTTAAAGCTTTAAAGTGTAGATCAGTTGGTTTGGGTCTCTCTCCCACAAAATCCCATCTTTCAGAGAAAAAAACAGCAGTTGCAAAACACCCGAGTTGCTGTAGGGACAAAAAGGACATTTTAGGACTAGACAAGCCACTTTGAGGTTGTCTCCCCCTGCCAGGTTGCACAGTGAATTCCTGTATATTGAAGAGCCCAGTTATGTAGTCAAGAAATTTTACTTGTGTTAGTTGGAAAAACATGTTTCTTTTTTCTGTCTCATGCCTTGTGTCTTCAGCTTTGTGGTTTGTACAGCTAAAAGGGAAGGCAGAGAGAAATACAATAAGCAAACTACTTCAAGAAATTATCTTCTGCTTTCGAGAAGGATGGGTTTGTTTTTTCACTCAAACAGGGGACTGACTTCCTCTTGCTGCTGTTGGAATTAGAAGACAAAACACTTGGTTATTAGTTTCTTTGAGTTCACCTACTAATCTGTGCCTTTCCCTTCTCCTCATTCTCCTTCTTCCCTCTCTGCTACCCTACTGGAAAAAGCCTGCAAATAAATCAAGTTTCCCACAGATAAGAATCTGTGAGAGAAGGTTTTGTGTGGGAAATAAACATTTTGGATTCATGCAAACCTCGGTTATATTGCTTCTCCCTAGGTGAAGGTTAGGTTTTAGAATTTCAGGGAACTTCAAAACAGCAGAAATTTTTAAAGGTGGGTTTTGAACAGCTTCTGCTGTCAGAGGACCAAGGTATGTGCAACAAACTGTTACTATCACAATGAGACTAAGGAAACTTTAAGTGTGAGACTTGAATAATAATGTACTGTGTGGTGCCAGTTATAGCTCAGACTTATGCCTGTGGTATTCAGTTTATCCACCAAAGCTTCTCAGATCTAATAATTTCATGCCACATACCCTGGCAGTGTTGTATAGCAGCTGTCCTTTTGTAGTTGATGTATAATTACATCATGAAAAGACTTTAATTACCATATTACTAAATTACCAGCCAGCAATCCTTTCAGGTTCAGCCCTAGCTCACTTCTGTATGGACTATTAGGCTTCTCTAAGCTGAACACTTTTGGTTGGTGTAAAAGGGAGGAAAAATTGTGCTAATTGTAGGTTTTGTTATGAACTATTATTGAGCTTAATGTTATGGCATCACTAATGTCAATGATATAATAAACTTCAGCTAACAATGCAATCTCAGTTCTGTAATAATTATATGTTAACTGCACATGATACCAGAACTCTACTAAAAATGAGGTGATGTATTCAGAGCCTGATAAAAACAACTTAGAAGGAACTACTTTCATTCTCTAATGGCTTGTCTGATAATTCTTGGACTCTGCCATAAATATACCTATTTGTACAGTCAAAATTCATATCTGAATATTGGCCAAAGCTTTTTCTTTCTCTCTCTTTCTTCTTTTCAGTGATTAGCAGTGTCCATGCAAAGTTATCTGATTAGGGACTGATAGTGCTATAGTCAGATATCCAATATATAGTGCTTTTTTTTGGTGAGCATCAAGGCGGTGTATTTTGCTTACCAGCCTGATATATTTGCTATGAAAACTAGGACATTGGAATAGCTGCTTTTTATTTATTTTCTTTTTAAAATATGGACTAGTAAATCTTCTCTAGTCATTATTTTAAATAGCGTTGTTCAATTCTGCATTGCTAAAGTGACTTTTACTTCTGAACTGCCATAACACGCCTTGTTAATCTCAGTTCTTTTTAGTTTTATGCTCTTTATTGGGATATTGTTTTATAGCTACTGATGAAGCAGTTCTAAAACAGGGACTTAATGTTTTTACTGATTACTGCCCAATTATTGTATAGCCTCATGCAACATAACATTTGTCCAATATCACTACAATGACTGTAATGCAATATGATCATATTAACAATGTTTGGGATGAGCATTGTTCTGGCTTTTGTGTTGTCTGGAGCTGCTCAGAGACTGCAGGCCCTTCCATTTTGTGCTGTGCTTGGAGCCACGTAGGGAAGCTGTGCCTTTATCGTTATACAAGAAGCAAGACATCACAGGTTGATACGATTTTTCCACGTACCCTGAAACCCTCACTAAATCTGCAAATGAGTCCTTGGGCTTTTCTTGATTTATTGGCAGAACATGACGTCAAAGCAAAGAACCTGATGTTCCAAAGGCTTCGCAGACTTGCAGGGTCACTGAATTTTTTGCTTTACTTCATCAGCTCTTTTTTATCATCTTTTTGCCTCCTTGCTTTTGCTCCACAGTACTTATGTGTTCAGGGCATATTCACACTCTACTTGAACATACATCCTCATGTCCAGAATAGATTTTCTCCTCCTTTTTGCACGTGTAAAATTAATGCTAATGCATTTTGGCTTATTAAATGGTAGGAGCTCATTGAGTGAATATTTTTGTGATGGTTTTGTGTGGGTGCAGGTGAAGTAACTTCATTGGTACTTCAAGAGATCAGGTGTGGGAGAGTGTATTTATAACACAGTCTTCTCCCAGTGTAATAAAATAACGAATTGAAAATGGAATTTGTTTACCATTTGAATTCTTTCTGGATTTGCTGCTTGTGTTGAAGCTTACTACATTTATACTTCCTCTTCTTTGTCATGGTGATTGTCAGCTGCTTCCCTCATGGTTACTCAGATTTGGGGCTTAATTTGCTTTTATGAAGTAAATGAAAGCAGCATGGAAATAGCCATGTGTCTGCTGACTGGCAGTGTAGCTTAAACAGAATTTCGGAGAAGTCAGAATTGATGATTCTGAGCCATTTTTGTGGTTCATGGTGTATGACCGCTTCCTTGAGGCAGTCCAGCAGGGTCGTTTGTGCCAGAAACGTTAACACTGTGTAAGGATGGAAACTAAAAAGTGTTCTAATATATTGCTATTATAGAACTAGTTTACTTTAGTCTTTGGTTTACTGTCTAGGAAGCTTTAATTTTCTGTTTTTCATAACTACTCAACTTCTAATCTAAATGGTGTGTATTTTCCCTGTTTTCTGTGAGTGGTCTGCCTAAGACTTCTCTGTCTTCTTACATCTGTGTCTGCATAAACAACAATAACTGTG